GGGGGGGGGGGGACGTCATAACAACGACTCTGCTCATTTCATGACACAAGAAATAAAAAATATCTTTATTGTGGAATTTAGTATTTGGACCAGACAGGATCCAGAATAAAGTTTAAACTCATCATTATTAGAAAATATCAAAAAGATTCTCAACCTTCAAACACAAAAGACATTTTCTTCTTGAAATATCCACATTGAGTTTTTTGGTGATTTGTGTCTAAATACAGGACATTAAAATCTGTCTCATTATATTGATCCACTCACTGTTCCCTCTCTCCCTCTCTCCCTCTCTCTCACCTCCACCCTCCCCCTCTCTGTGTAATTACACTTCTCCACATCAGACGTCAGTATTAAACATCGCTCTGCGTCTAACGTCGTCTCGAACAAACTCAGGACTTTCCCTGAATAGACTGAGCGTGGCTGCCTCTGTTGTTCAAAACCCACCGAACAGGTTCAGAAGCATCTATTCTCAGAGCGAGGTCGCTTCATGTGAGTCCACTAAAGAATCACGTCTTCTCATTTCAACCTCCTGCTCTGCTGTGTAAACACAAATCTAATTTCTGTTTGCACCGAACAAACAGGTTAAGAAACAAAGGACTTCCAATTTCAAACACCCTCAAACAAGCAGGTTGAAGCTCGAAGACAATGAGACCCAGAGCAAAAGAAAACAGAATTGGCTGCAGGACTCAGGTGATAAGACCACGAGGCCCACTTCTGACCACGTGTCCTACAACTTAGAGAAAGACAAACCTCAGTTCAGGACAAAGTCAGAGTTACTTTCTAAATGTCTCCTCATGAGGTTTGAACGTAAACAATACAACAGAAACAGGAAGTTGCTCCTGGTAACTTACAGAAATAAAAGCCTTGTTGTCATGTCGAGGTTTTAATCAGAAAATCTTTCTTCGTCCTTCCTTGAATATTTGGGTTTTTTTAAACCACGTGACTGACGTCATAGAAGAAGTGAAATCAGTAGATTGTGAATTGGTTGATCACTTTTCTCTCACCACAAGGTGAAGTGCACCATCTGGTGGAGAAAATCATGAACAGCAGGATAATACAAAGCTAAACGCTTTGCTACAGATGCTACCTCAGAAGAGCAATAGAGTTACCAGATACTTTTATTTTATAATGACACTGTTAATCAAATAACACCCGGATAGGTCGTTTTCTACTAATGGAAAAAAATCTGTAATTGTCAAAATATAATTTAAACTAAACCAAAAAACGTAAATTTATATACACAATCTTTTTTTTAAAGTCAGAAAAACAATGTTTAAATCAAACCTTATGTTTTCTTAGGGATTAAAGAAAGACCCCAGCCTCTTCCACACAGTAAAAACATCGGATTCATCCTCCGATCGACAGTAACGACATCGGACCTGCTTCAAATAAATTAAAATATAAAATTGATGGTAGATTGTCGTAATCGCTGCTTTAGTATTATTTCTTCTCCGCATCCTCTCAGGAGCCTCTGACACCTGATGCTCTGCAAAATGTCCTAATATCAAAGGATTAAAACAAATTCAGGATGACAAATTGTTCGTTTAATATATTGCTCTTTTTGTTAATATATAAAAATCATCTGTTAAAAAATGTCACACGTTATAATAATTTCTTCAAACTCCACGAACAAAAGAGAAAGTGCTGAAGTTAACGACACTGAAAACAAAAGAGAGAAAAAGATTCGACACGTCGGCGGAAACCCCGGTGACCTCACATCGTCACGACAACCCTGAGGAAGATGATTGGTGTCATTACACATCGGTTACGTCATTAAATACGAGCTGCGGGAGGTTAGAGACTTTAAATAAAGATGGACGACGCGTCTCCACTTCCTCCCACTGTGCAAAAATCTAGAAAAAATGTCCCGAATACAAACGCCTGCACTTCATCTCCTGCTCTGATCACATCACTTAAAAACAGAGTCTGTTTAATAACTAATTAAAACCAAAGTTACCGGAAAAGTGAAAACTCAGGTTGAGAAAACTTTACATTAACACTTAAACTCCAGCTCAGACGAGCACCGGAGTGAGTCCAGGAGAGAAAACAGCAGGAGAACATCTGGACACGTCCCGGCGAGCGAGTGGTCGTGTACATGAGGGCTCCTGAATATCCCCCACGTGTTCCTGTTGTTGCGAACGAGTCGAAACAATCTGCTGCTGCTGCTTCACAAACACAAACTACAGGAAAATGTCTGGACAAAAACTAGTCCTGCTGCTGCAGGATCAGGTCGGAGAGCACGTTGATGTCCGTCTCCGTCGGGTGAAGCTGCAGCACCAGCATCACGATGTTGTCCTGACCTGGGAAAACCTGACAGAGCTGCTCCCTCATGTTCGCCGTGTCCTCTGGACTCCTGTCAGCTCGGAGCATGAGTCCAGAACCTGCAGCTCCTTGCTGCTTGAGCAGATGTCCCGTGTCCCACCCCTTGCCGGGCCCCCTCCCTTTCCCCCGGCCCCCCCTGCCCGCCGGATTCACACCCCCGACCGGTGTTCGGTCGCGGAAGTTCAGAACCTCTGTTTGTGATCGTGGAGCTTTGGAGGAAGGGAAAGTGGACGCTACGCCGGCAAAAGAGTGGTTTCCTGGGTCCGGAGTCCTGAGAGGAGACAGAGCGCTTGATTCAAAAACACGTCAACACATCATGAGTCTGGATCTTCACGTGAAAAACATGTTACACAATATTTTGGTATTTTTACATTAAAATGTCTCTTTTGTCTTCCTGTGTGTGTGCGTGTGTGTGCGTGCACGTGTTACCTGTGCTCCGAGCGGAGGAAGTCGTCCAGGTGAGGCCCTCCTCTCCCCAGGGGGTCGTCCGGCACCATGAAGTGATCGCCCACAAACGTGTACTGAAGAAGTCTGAACGAAACAGTTTTTAATTTATGTTTTGTATTAACAGAAGATATTACATCCATCATGCTCAACGTCAGATTCCTATAAAGAGACGAACCAACCTCTTTTTGATGATGTCCCTCCACACGGGGGTCTCGTCAGAGAGGTCTCTCAGGTTGTCGTTGGTTACGATCACTCCGTCCGTCTTTTGCGCGAGCTGCAGCATGAGTCTGTGGCAACGAGGGAGAAGTTATTAACGACCAGAGTTCATCTCCAAAGTTTAAAACGTGAAGAACTCTGAACAGTTTGGTGGATTTGTTTGGAAGCAGAGGATCATGGGTAATACGCAACATGCAAACCACTAAATGAATGAATGTGTGGCTGCAGAGGGCGCTGTCGCTCGGTTAAAGTCACATTGTGTTGCTTTAATACACGTTTTTTTTAAACTGTGTCACATTCACAACCACAAAGCTGTTTAACATTTAACAGTTTCCCTGCAGCGGTTTGTGCTTTGACACAGATCTTACACATCTGCGCTCGTAAACTTTTAAATCACAGTGACACAACTTCGTACGTTCTGTGTGCGAGTCCTCTCACCTGTCGTCATACGAGCTGATCCTCTTGCCCTGCACCTCCCTGGAGGGGGTGTAGGAGAGCAGGCCCAGCTTCTGCAGCTCCGTCAGATAGTGCTGCTCTGAGACGCACAACGAAAAACAACAACACTGGGTTTAGTCGCACGCACACACACACACACACA